ACCCTGAATCCCTGGCCCTGAAGCTCAAACCTCTCCCTAAACCCGAAACCCCCCTTTCAACCCTAAGCCACGGCTAAGGGTTTAGGGTTTAGGGTTTAGGGTTTAGGGTTTAGGGTTTAGGGTTTAGGCCCTAAGCCTTAACTCCACAAACCCTCGCCCCCCATTCTAGGTGGCTTTACCTGAGGTTTGGTTTGTGCTTTGGCACTGAGACCAGCTAGCTTACTTTCTAAGGGTTTTTACAAAAGAAAGGCTCAGTGGGATTTTTTCTAAGGGTTGTGCTTTGTGGCTCAGGACAAGAGCTTCCGACCCATGTAACCCAACCAGCCTTCCCGAAATCTACCGAGCCCTCCTAAACCCCTCTAGTTTGAGCCTTCGAAGTTAGTCACAGCTTGGACATGGCAACGAATCCCAAAGTAACAAGGTNNGTTTAGGGTTTAGGTTTAAAGGGTTTAGGGTTTGGGGTTTAGGGTTTAGCCTGGACTCCCGAGTTGCTGCTGGTGGTAGCCTTTCTGGGAGTAGCGCTGATGTCCCTTCCAATGGCCCCCCTGTTGAAAGTCCTGGCAACTTAGTTCTCCTATAGTAGGGTTTAGGGTTTAGGGTTGGGGGTTTAGGTTTAGGGTTTAGGGTTTTAGACTTGGTCTGGGTACTAGTGGGAGCTGGAAGAATTGAGGCTAAGGCTAGACATGACTGAATAATCTGGGCTGGTCAGCTAATTACTCAAAGAGACCAGATGCTATTGAGGAAAATTATCTCTTGTTGTTGGCCTGGGTTGAAAGCCCTCAACCCTGCACCCCACACCCCGGACCCCCTTGACACGGCACTCCACCTATCATAAGTAGGGTATGGGGCAGGACCAACAAATTCTCGGTTCCCCGTGAGCCGAGGAATTGGAACTCTCGAAAGACCGGATCGGTCTTCGAGGCCACGTTTGATTTGATGTGACAGGGTTTAGGGTTTACAGTGTAGGGCTTTGAAACCCTAAACCCTACACCCTAAACCCTGTAAATCCTCTTTACCTCAGGAGCAACCTTTGGTCAAGGACTCCAACTCCTTGCAAGATCTCCTTACGAAAACCCAATTTGGCTTCCCGCGACAATAGGGTTCTGAGTTGACAGGACTTAAGATGGTGGACTACAAGGCTTTCATGATTAGACTGGCGTCTTGGGGTACTTCATAGTATACTCATGATCACCTAAACCCTAAACCCTAAACCCTAAAAGGAACCCTAACACATAGTATGATGAACTTCTCAGGCTTCTATATTCGAGGAGTTAAGGGCCGATATTCTGAGCACTGTCGTGGTGTCGGTAGGCCGTGCAGCAGGAACTGACCCAACTTCGGAGC